GCCGCCTCGGACAACGCCAGCCGCCACGCCCCCGGAGCGCCGCCCATCTCCGTCGTGGAGGCCGTCGGCTACCTCGCGGGCGGCTTCGTCAGGGACAAGGAGCACGACCCCTTCGCCCGCCACGCCTTCAACGCCCGCGCCTCCAACGCCTCCCCAACGACAGGAGGCTGCCCGACACCAGGGACGAAGGTTTGGGAGGGGGAAGGAGGGGCTGGGGTGAGGGGGTGGGGGATGGAGGTGGAGGGGGTAGGGGATGGGAGGTGGGGGTGGGAGGGAAGGAAGGAAGGGTGTGGGGTAGGGTTGGGAGAGGAGGGGGTAGGGGGATGGGGAGATGGGGTAGGGGTGGGGAGGAAAGGAAGGAAGGAGGGAGGAGTGGAGGGGTGGGGGGAAGGAGAGTGGCTGCCCGACACGAGAGATGGAGGGGGGTGGGGGAGAGGGAGGGGGTGGGAATTAAGGAAGGAGGAGAGAGGGAGGGGTTGGGGAGGAAGGAGGAAGAGGAGGGGCTGGGGGGGGGGAAGGAGGAAGAGGGAATGGCTGGGGGGGAAAGGAAGTTTGAGGAAGGGAGGATGTGGGATGGTGGTGGGGAGAGGGAGGGGCTGGGATGAGGGGGGGAAGGGAGGATGTGGAGTAGGGGTGAGAAGGAAGGAAGGAGGGAGGAGGGGCAGGGGTGGAGAGAGGGAGGGGCTGGGGGGAGGAGGAGAGAATGTGGGGTGGGGGTGGGGGGAAAGGAAGTTTGAGGAAGGAGGGTGTGGGGTGGTGGGGAGAGGGAGGGGCTGGGATGAGGGGGGGAAGGGAGGATGTGGGGTAGGGTGAGAAGGAAGGAAGGAGGGAGGAGGGGGCAGGGGTGGAGAGAGGGAGGGCTGGGGGAGGAGGAGGAGAATGTGGGGTGGGGGTGGGGAGAGGGAGGGCTGGGGAAGGAGGAGAGAATGTTGGATGGTGGTGGGAGAGGGAGGGGCTGGGATGAGGGGGGGAAGGGAGGATGTGGGGGGTGAGAAGGAAGGAAGGAGGAAGAGGGGGCAGGGGGTGGAGAGAGGGAGGGGCTGGGGGGAGGAGGAGAGAATGTGGGTGGGGGTGGGAGAGGGAGGGGCTGGGGGAGGAGGAGAGAATGTGGGGTGGGGTGGGAGAGGGGAGGGGGCTGGGGTTGATGGGGATGTGGTTTGGGGGGAATGTGGGGTGGGAAGGAAGGAAGGAAGGAGAGGGAGGGAAGGGATGGGAAGGAAGGAAAGAGGGGAGGAAGGGAGGGTGTTGGGTGGGAAGTGGAGGCGGCTGGGGGGATGTGGGGGAGGAAGAGAGAGGGAAGGCGTGCCAGGTTGGTGGGGAGGAAGGAGGGAAGGAGAGGGTGGGAAGGGGGAAGGATATGGGGTGGGGGGAGGGCGAGGGGGGATGTGGAGGGTGGGAAGGATGGAGGGATGTGTGGGGGAGGGCTGAAGATGGGAGGTAGGAAAGGGAAGAGAGGATGATGTGAGGGAGGAAGGGAAGGAAGGAGAAGAATGTAGGGGGGAGTAAATGGGGACTGATAGGAGGCTGCCGAACACGAGGGAGGGAAGAAAGAGAGAGTGAGTGAGAGCAAGAGAGAGCGAGTGAGTGAGAGAAAAGACAGAGAGTGAGTGAGAGAAAAGAGAAAGAGAGAGTGAGTGAGTGAGAGAAAGAGAGAAGTGAGAGGGAGTGAGAGAAAAGACAGAGAGTGAGTGAGAGAAAAGAGAAAGAGAGAGTGAGAGAGAAGAAAGAGGAGAGTGAGAGAGAGAGAAGAGAGAGAGTGAGTGAGAGAAAAGAGAGAGAGTGAGTGAGAGAAAAGAGAGAGAGTGAGTGAGAGAAAAGAGAGAGAGTGAGTGAGAGAAAAGAGAGAGAGTGAGGAGAAAAGAAAGAGAGAGAGTGAGAGTGAGAGAAGAAGAGAGAGAGTGAGAGAAGAGAGAGAGTGAGTGAGAGAAAGAGAGAGAGTGAGTGAGAGAAAAGAGAGAGAGTGAGTAAGAGAAAGAGAGAGAGTGAGTGAGAGAAGAGAGAGAGTGAGAGAGAAAAGAGAGAGAGAGAGTGAAGAAAAAGAGAGAGAAAGAGTGAGAGTGAGAGTGAGAGTCAGTGAGTGAGAGTAAGAATAAGAATAAGAGTAAGAGTAAGAATAAGAGTAAGAGAGAGAAAGAGAGAGAGAGAGAGAGAGAGAGACATAGTCAGAGTCAGAGTCAGAGACAGGGACAGGGACATGACGAGAGAAAGAGTAAAATAAAAGTTTGTGTTTACATGCGTAGATATGTATGCTTCTATTTAGTCCAGCGGCAACCATAAGTCACGTCGACATTCCGACAAACCAAACTCGATTCACGTTTCAGATAATGCAATGCAAAAATCTCTCTCTCTCTCTCTCTCTCTCTCTCTCTCTCTCTCTCTCTCTCTCTCTCTCTCTCTCTCTCTCTCTCTCTCTCTCTCTCTCTCTCTCTCTCTCTCTCTCTCTCTCTCTCTTTATTTTTATTTATTTATTTTTTTATTTATTTTTTTTTTTTTTTTACTTTCGGTCAAATGAAAGGACTTCTGACCTCGGGTGTATTTGATATCCATAACTCAACGGCCGTTCGATTCCTAAGGCTAAGAATAAGTCTATGATAGGAAAATGGTGAAAAAAAAAAAAAAGAAATAACAAAAGGAGAAGAGAAATGAATAAAAGAAGAAACGGAAATGAAAGAAAAATATATGTATCTATATATCTATCTATCTGTAAATATAGTATATATCTTATATTCTTGATCTATTCTGCCGTTTGAAATCAGTGTTTTTATGCAATTAGTAAAAAGTTCAACATTGGGGAACGTATTAGAATAGATACTTATTTTTTTTTGTATTATTATTAGCGAACAATTTTTCTTCCTTTTCCTCATCTTCCTCTTCTTCATTTAAGTTATTTTTTCTTACACGCAAATTATTATTATTCTCCGCATTCTTCTTCCTCTACTTCTCTTTCTTCTTCCTCCTCTTCCTTTTCCCTTTCTCCTTCCTACTCTTCTCCCTCTCTTTCCTCTCCCTCCTCCTCCTTTTATTCCTCCTTTCCATTTCCTTCTTTTTCTTAAACCCTCCTTCCTCTTCCCCCTCCCCCTCCTATTATTATTGTTATTATTGTTGTTGTTATTATTATAATGATTGTTAATTTTCTTTATCATCATCATCATGATTATCATCATTATCATCACCACCACCACACCACCACCACCACACCACCACCAATCACCACTACTCACCTTCTTTCTTTACCTCAACCACGTAACCTCTCCTTGCAGATGCGGCCAAGTGGCTTACGACGTCGATTCGCTCCAGACAGTGTCAGTGGTCATCACCTTCCACAATGAAGCCAGGTCAGCGCTGCTCAGGACAGTTATAAGGTGAGAGAGGGAGGAGGGACGGTGAGGAGGTGAGGAGAGGGAGGGACGGAGGTGGCAAGGGGAGAGGAGAGAGGGAGGGACGGTGAGGGAGGTGGCAAGGGGAGAGGAGAGAGGGAGGGATGGTGGGAGGGGAAGGTGGAGGGGGAGAGGGAGGGATGGTGAGGGAGGGGGAAGGTGGAGGGGGGAGAGGAAGGATGGTGAGGGAGGTGGGAGACGGGAGTGGGGAGAGGGAAGGATGGTGTGGGAGGTGGAAGGTGGTGGGGAGAGGAAAGGATGGTGGGAGGGGGAAGGTAGAGGGGGGAGGGAGGGATGGTGGGAGGGGAGGGATGAGAGGTAGTGGGAGTGAGAGGGAGAGGGGGGGGAAGGAGAAAGAGGAAGGAGAGAGGGAGAGGGGATGAGAAAAAGAGAGGGAGAGGGAGAGAGGATGAGAAGGAGAGAGGGAGAGGAATTGGGGAGGAGAAGGAGAGAGAGGGAGGGGGAAAGGAGGAGAGGGAGCGGGAGAAGACAGAGAAAGAGAGGGAGAAGGAGAAGGGGGAGAGGGAGAGGAAGGAGAAGGAGGAGAAAGAAAGGGAGAAGGAGAGGGAGAGGGTGAAGGAGAAAGAGAGAAAGAGCAAGAGAAAAAAAGATGCAAAGTCATACTAAAAAGACATAAATCATGAACAATAAAAAACGCGAAAAACGCAGAGATCCCCCCCCCCTTTTCACAAACGCCATTTTGCCAACAAACTCTAGCCGACCTGACCCCAAAATGTCGCGCATAAACAGGCAAGGAATAACCGTCTCCCGCTTTGTTGCTTGACAGTGTCTTGACCCGAACGCCAGATGAACTGCTTGAGGACCTGATACTCGTGGACGATGCGAGCGATGACCGTAAGTATGAGTGACTGCACGCCTTATACCTTGTGGTATCAGTTTGTATATAGAGAGATATGTATATTTTTTCTTTTTTTCTTGTTTTTCTTTCTTTTTTCTTTCTTGTTTTTGTCTTGTTTTTTTCTTTTCTTTTTTTCTTTTCTTTCTTCTTTCTTTTTTTGTCTTTCATTTTTTGGTTTGGGTTTTTTAGAATATACTTTTTTAAAGATATTAAGATCTATAGTTTTTAAAGATGTTCGAAGTTATTTTATAAATATCTATATATATTTATGTCATTTTTTATGCATATATTTAGTTATATATTTATTTTTTAGGTTGATAGCTTAGTTTTATTATCAGTAAAGATTTTTGTGCCTATTATTATAACATAATCTGTTGTTTTTATTGTTGCTGTTGTTATAATTTTTGTTATTATTACGTTTTAAAAGAGCTTCAATTAAAACAACAAAAGGAGTTCGATAACGTCGCTAAGAATTTATAACAGAAACGAAAGTTAGAATACGAAAATCGTTGAATAAATTTACATCGAAGTCGGTCAGTTTTATTGACCTTGGAAGATCGCACCAACATGCCACAAAGGGAGTTTAGAATATGACTCTTAAGGAAATCAGTCTCTATTGATTTATATATATATATATATATATATATATATATATATATATATATATATATATATATTATATATATATATATTTTTTTTTTGCGTCTAAAAGATATATTCTATTTAGTGGGTTAGTGTTTTTCCTTTCGAGAATAATTTACCCTTCTTTGATTAGTATTATTGTTATTTTTATTGTTATCATTATCATTATCTCATCATTATCATCATTGTCATTATTATTGTCATTACCTTTATTATTATTAATTATTATTATTTATTATTATTATTATTATTATTATTATTATTATTATTATTATTTCATCATCATCATCATCATTATCATCATCATTAATATCATCATCATCATTATTATTATTTTATTATTATTATGTTTTATATTATTATTTTATTTTTTATACTTATTATAATAAATTTACTATTGTTGTTGTTATTATTTATTATTATTATTATTATTATTATTATTATATTATTATTATTATTATTATTAATTATTATTTTTTATTATTATTTATCATTTATCACCATTATCATTATTAATATTATTTTTAGTTTTATTACTTTCCTTCTTTTTCGTTTCTATTCATATTTTATTTGTTTATTTTCTTGTGGCATTTTAGACTAAGGAAATTTATGTTTCGAAATAAGTGATATATATGCATGTGTTATATATTATTCATTATTTATTTGTTTGTCTGTTTATCTATTCATATGTGCATTTACTTATAGCATTATCCATTTATTTATGTATTTATTCATTTATTTTGTTTTTTTACTTTTTAATAATTTCATTCTTGCATATATTTCTTTATCTATATATTGTATTCATTCAATCATCTAATTATTCATTTATTTATTTATCTGTTTATTTACTCATCCGTACATATCATTCTATTACTCATATATAAGGAATACATTTTCTTTACTTTTTTTCTTACAATTTCAGCTCAAGACGGACAGCTGCTCGCCGGGTTGCCAAAAGTGCGGGTGTTGAGGAATGACCAGAGACAAGGTACGGTGTTAAGGGAAAGAGGGAAGGGAAATAGATGGATGGATGTGGTGGGGTGGATGGAGTGGGTGGTGGGGGATGGCGTGGGTGGATGGTGGGTGGGTGGGGGGTGGTGGGTGGTGGGTGGGTGGGTGGTGGGGATGGGTGGGTGGATGGGTGGGTGGGGTGGATGGAGGGTGGGTGGGGTGGAGGGATGGGTGGTGGGGAGGGATGGGTGGATGGATGGAGGATGGATGGATGGATGGATGGATGGTTGGTTGGATGGATGAATAGATGGGTTGGATGGATAGATGGATGAGAGAGAGAGAGAGAGAGAGAGAGAGGAGAGGGAGGGAGGGAGATGGATAGATTAGATTAGAAGGTGATGGTAAGGAAAGGAAGGAGGAGAAGTAATGTAAGGAAATGAGGGAAGGATGATAGATAGATAGATAGGTAAGATTAATAGATGATGGTACGGAAAGGGGAAATAGAAGTACTGGCAGAGGTATAAGGAACGACTAGAGACAATAAAGAGGGAAGGATAATATATAGAAAGATAGATAATAAAATTAGTAGGTGATGGTAAGAATAAAAGGAAGGAGAGGAAGTAGTGAAAGAGCTATTAAAGATGGGAAAAAGGGAATTAGAAAAATGATATAAGATTAGTAGATGAAATTAAGGAGAATTGAAGGAGAAGTAATGAAAGAGACAAGAAAGATGGAAATAAAGGGAATTAGAGAATTAAATAACTAGAAGGAAGAAGGAATGAGTGATAAAAGGGAGAAGTAGAGAGAGGTAGAAAAGATGAGAATAAAGATAGAGAAAAAAAACTGAAAAATTATATAGATATATAAACTGAAATAGTGATAATAAAATTAGGAGATGGAAATAAGATAAATGTACGAATAAGAAGTAGTGAAGGATAGAAGTAGGGAGATACGAAAAACGAGAATAAAGATAGAGAAAAAGGAAATAGAATTAGTAGGTGAAAATCAGTAAACGGAAAGAAGATAAAAGGAAGAAGTGAAAGGCAGGAAAGATGAGAATAAAGACGAGAGAAATAGAAAAGGGAATGAAAATAAAATCGAATAATTCATTGAAAATAAAGAAAAGAGAAGACATGAAAGCGAGAGAAGGAAAATGCGAATAAAGATAGAGTGAAATAAGAAGGGAGAGAAAAATTAGATGAAGTAGTTTCATGAAAACAAAAATAAAAGAGAATTAATGAAAGAGGGAAGTAGGAGTAAGTAAGAAAAAAATAAATATAGAAAGAAGAGGAATAAGCATTACAAGAGGAAACTAAGAAATGGAATGAAGATAAAAGAAAATTAAAAAAAAAAAACTCATGAAAGGGGAATATAAGTGAAAAATGAGAAAAATAAAAAAAATCATGAAAGGGGAATACAAGTGAGAAATACGAGAAAAAATGCATTAAAAGAAGAAAAAAGAGGGGGAGGGATTTAAGAACGAATGAGAGGGAACAAGAGGTATCTTAAGGAAGCTGAGAGCGCTGAGGGGCTGAAAGAGGGAACCAAGAGAAAGAGAGAGAGAGAGAGAGAGGGAGAGAAAGTGAGGGGCTGGCGTGGAGAGGAGACAAACACTCAGTGACAGCGAGGAAAGTTTTGAATAAGACTGAAGGAAGGGGAGAGGGGAGAGAAAGGGGAGGGAGTAGAAGGAGGGGAGAGGAGGGTAAGAATGAGGGAGTGAGGGAGGGGTAAAAGTGAGGGGAGAGGGAGGGTAAAAGTGAGGGGAGAAGGGGAGGGTAAAGGGTGAGGGAATGAGGGAGGTAAAAATGAGGGGAGAGGGGGAAATATGAGGAGAGAGGGAAATGGTGAAATAAATGGGAGAAGGGGGAGGGTAGAAGTTGAGGGAGGGAGGGATGAAAGGCAAGAATGAGGGGGAAGGGAAGGGAGGAAGAAATTAGGTGGATAAGGGCCAGAGAGGACGGGGTTGTGGGGAAGGGAGGAAGTGAGAAATGAGGGAATTGAGGGTAAGGGTGAGAAAGACAGGAAGGAAAGGGTTGAGGGAGAGGGAGAGGAGAGAGAAGGAAGATGAAAGCGAAGAGAGTTGAAGGGGACAACGAAGAGGAGAAGGAGGAGGGAGGAAGAGGGCGAGAAAGAGAGGAAGAGCAAAGAGAGAGAAGAGGGAAGGAGGAGAAAGACGAAGAGAATGGGAAAAGGAGGAGAAGAAAGGGGGAAGTAGGAGAAGAGCGAAGGGAGACAGAAGAAAAGGGCAAGAGAAAGGAGGGAAGAGGAGATAACACGACGAAAGAAAGAGAGAAAGATGAACGAAGGCTTAGAAAGAAAAAAAAAGTAAAATAAAAGGCGATGAAAAGAGATAAGAAATGAGATCGGCCATTATACGATTTATATGAGGAAAAATGAGAAAACTTGAAATTGATGAGGAAGGAGAGAGCAATCACTTATGAGGAGATGACAATATGGAGATTCATATCGGTCTTGCATTTAGTGAGGGGAATGAGGCGAGGAGAAGAAAAGAGGGGAAATTGAGTAGATTCATGTCATTGGTGTATGTGCGTTTTTTTATTCATGTATGTCGTTATTATTATCATCATCATCACGATCACTTATCATTAGTGTAATTATTATTACTGTCTGTCTCTATGATTATCATTATTATCATCCTCATCATTATCATCACGATTACTATATTTAAGTATGATCATTATTACTATCTATGTATCATTATCATCATCATAATTTCCTGTCATTTTATCATTACTATGACATTATCATCATCATTACCACTTATTACCACCACCCTCACTATCACTATATCACCATCACTACCCTCACCATCAACATCGTCATCGGCGTCGTCATCATCATCATCATCATCACCATCATCATCATTCATCATTCATCATCATCATCATCATCATCACCATCATCATCATTTTCACCACCACCACCCCCCTTCCAACTGCCCTCTCACCTCTCTCTCTTCTCCCTCTCTCCCCCCAGGTCTTATCAGGTCAAGGGTCAGAGGCGCCGACGCGAGCCAGGGCGAGACCATCTTCTTCCTCGACTCCCACTGCGAGGTCAATCAGGGTTGGGCCGTCCCCTTGTTGGAGGTCCTCAGGCAGGTGAGGTCAAGCGGCAGTTTCTGGGTGGTGGTTGTGTGTAGTGTATTGTGTGTTGGATGTAAGAGGTTGTATGTAGAATATTGTATGTTGTGTAATATTGTATTGATATATTTATAGTATTATGTTTGTAAATAATATTATATTGTATATGTGATATTTGTATATATTGTATATATATATTGTATGTTGTGTATTGTATATTGTATATGATATGTTGTATATAGTATATTGTTTATAGAATATTGTATATTGTATATGCTATGCTGTATATAGTATATTGTATATATTATTTAGCATGTAGTATATAGTATGTAGGAAAGGTATAAGTGAGAATGATTATATTCGCAGTATAAGAGATATTCATTCTCATTCAGGCATTTTCTACATTTGTCAACATGATAAATATAGAATATATTACATAGTATATAGTGTACATCACATTGCAGTCAGTATAAAGTATGTAGCATATGATACATAGTATATAGCACATAACACATAGCATATAGTTTATAGTATATAGTATAAGTAAATTAAGCTGTTCGTGATATAATTATTATGTTGTTATTGATGTTAACTTGCCTAGGCCAGGTTAGGTAACAGGGTTTTACTTAAATAATGAATTTGTGATTTTAAATTAAACTATATCATTATCTAAGCTAAGGAAGGTCATCCTGAAATAAGTCGCATCTGGAATTTAGAATTTCGTTGATAATTCTATTGCCAGCGATATCTAAAATAGCCCAGGTAATGGAATCGTCAAAAAAATTAAGTTGAGGTCCTGACTTTATGTTTATTATCATTATAATTTTGTATTGTCCCTTGTGTCTTTTCTCTAACAAATAAATTCATTGGGTTATTTTCGAAGCAAGGTCAGAAATCTGAATGCAGGCTTTTAAAGATCGGCTGCGTCTTCTAGAATTGTCTTTGATGTTGTTGTCGGGTGTATATTATCATTATTTTATCGTGTGGAATTTATTGGGAGGCAAAATGTTATTCTGGGAGCATTCCTTTGTGTGTCTGGTGCGTGGTTGGGGTTAGTGTGGCTCGGCTTGTTTGGGGGGGGGGGGGGAAGTGTCTGGGTTAATAGCTTCAGGTTTAGAATACTAGGTTTCTGTTTTTAGCGGTCGTGCGGGAGGGTGTGGTGTGGTGTGGAGGAAGAAGGAATACACGCGCATACACATGTATATTCACATCCTCATCCACGAGCGCACACGAACACATACACGCACGCACACGAACGCACGCACGTAACGCACGCACGGCACGCGCACACACACACACACACACACACACACACGCACACACACACACACCACACACACACACACACCACACACCACACACACACACACAACACACGACACACACACACACACACACACACACACACACACACACACACACACACACACACACACACACACACACACACACACACACACACACACACCACACACACACACACACACACACCACACACACACACACACACACGCACACACACACACACACACACGCACACACACCACACACACGCACACACACACACACACACACACACACACACACACACACACACACACCACACACACACACACACACACACACACACACACACACCAACCATCCATCCATCCACCCACACAAACACACACTGGCAATATTCTTCATTCCGAAACACCTTCACATTGCTCACATTAGGACAGGCGTTTACACAGCACTATTTACAGGTCAGCCGAGGTACTCACTCCCAGAAAACAATACATGACTTACGACCGGCTGGCAAACACCTACCTGTTTACCAGCCGTACGACAGTGTTCCCAGAGCCACACGGGGCACTTCGAGTACCCCCATAACGACGTCTTTTCCGCGGTTCTGGCAGCGCACGACCGTCGTTTAATGAACTGTTATTGGTTAAATTATCGCGATAGGAAATGCTTTCGAGTTGGTGTTGTTTTGAAGCTGGGTGGAAATGTTTCATAAGAGAGGGAGAGGGAATGGAGAAAGAGAGGGAGGAGGGGAGGGAGAGAGTGGAGAGGGAGGAGTAGGAGTAAGAGAGATAGTTGGATTGATAAATAGAGAGAGAGAGAGAGAGAGAGAGAGAGAGAGAGAGAGAGAGAGAGAGAGAGAGAGAGAGAGAGAGAGAGAGAGAGAGAGAGAGAGACGGGTAACGAGGACAGAGAGACAGATTGCTAAGTAGAAAAGCCAAGTATACAGACAGCCGAACAGGTGGACATGAGTCATTAATATCAAGCATTCTTTTTTCCTCATAGGACTTACTACATGTATCAAGCTGGCGTATACCTTTCCCAGGTATGAACACAGATTTGAAGCAATTAGGGAGATTAGAATCTGAACCATGCATCACTTAGACTGAACAGAGTTGGATTTTTTTTTCTCAGTGACAAAAAAAAAAAAAAAAAAAAAAAAAAGTCAGTTCCTGCAAGCAAATTCCACGCAGAGACTATATTGCATAGAGTCCTTGTGTTTGGGTGACTGCTGCTCGATTCAGATACAGTGAACGATTTCTTTTTGAAGTTTTACTGTCAGAGAGGAGGGGAATGTGAGAGACACGCGCGTCCACACACACATACATACATACATACATACATACATACACGCGGAAGAGACGAATACCCATATACACATAGATAAATAGCCACACACACATCCGTATTATCTCTCAAGCCATAACCACTCCAAGTCTCTCACGAAATACTCCATCGGCGGAAGTCACTAACCCACCAACCAAGTCTCCACGAAATCCACGTAAACCCAACCCACTCCGTAACCCACCACGTAACCAAACCCACTCCAATAACCCACCAACCCACCCCACGACTCCACGTAACCCACGGTAACCCACCACCCAACGCAAGAACCACTAACGGACCCACATGTAACCCACCAAGTACCCACGTCCACGTAACCCACTCCACGTACCACCGTGTCAGAAGTCCCCGTGTCTCTCCTCATCTGTTCCTCGTGCTGCCTCCTTTGCCCTCTCTCCTTGTTGACGTTCCGGATACAGAACTCTGAAGGGGATCAGCTGTTTTCCCCTTTCTTCCAAACGTTTTAGAACTATTTTTAGGGTTTTCTCTTTTCCGAACGTTTCAGAGGAATTTTTGGGGTTGATTTCTCTTTTCCAAACGTTTTGTAGCCTTTTTTAGGGTTGATTTCTTCTAAACGTTTTGTGGCTATTTTTTGTGGTAGATTTATCTACCAAAGGTTTTTTTTTGCTAGTTTTTAGGGTTGATTTCTCTCTTTCAAACATTTTAGAGCCATTTTTGGGGTTGATTTCTCTTCCAAACGTTTTAGACCTATTTTTAGGGTTGATTTCGCTTCCAAACGTTTTATGGCCATTTTTAGGGTTGATTCCACTTCCAAACATTTTTTTTTGCTACTTTTAAGGGTTGATTTCTTCAAGGTTTTATTGCCACCTTTAAGTGTTGATTTCTTCCAAACGTTTTAGAGCCACGTTGGGGGTTGATTTGTTTCTTCCAAACGTTTTATAGCCATATTTTGGGGTTGATGTCTTTCTTTTATTGCCAATTTTATTTTGATTTCTTTCGTCCACCATATTTTAAATATGGTCTTCCAATCGTTTTGTTGTCACTTGATTTATTTCTTCCAAGATTTTTTTGGGTTGATTTTTTTTTCTTCTTTTATTGTTGCTTTTTAGGGCTGATTTCTTGCTTTCATTTCGAGGTAGTGTTGCTTTTTTTTGTTTGTTTCTTTAATTTGTTTTTGTGGTGCTTTTTATTTTTCATTTTAATTTTTTTTCTTTTTCTTTTCTTTTTTTCTTTTTTTCCGAACTTTTTTTTTTCTTTTTTTTCTTTTTCTGGTTATTCAGTTTTTTAGCTGTTTTTTTTTTTATTTCATTTGATTATTTTTCTATATCATTTTGTTCGATTTTCCTCTTTCCAGACATTTAATAGAAGTTTTCAAGGCTGATTTCTGGTTTGCTTTTTTTTTTCGTCTATTTGTTTTCTTCCTTTTATGTTTTTATTTTTAAAGATTCAGACGTTCATCATCCGATTTATCAAATTTTTATTTATTTATTTTCTTTCTTACCTTTTTTATTGTTATTTTGTTTGTTATTCTAAATGTTATACAGGAGTTTTCAAAGTGGGCTGTTGAAGAATTTAGACTCCTAGTTGTATTATTGTATATATTATATTAAGCAGTTATATTCAGTAAGTATATATTATATTAACCATATTATATTATCAGTATATATTATATTAACCATATATATTATTAAAGTAGTATATATTATAATAAGCAAGTATATATTATAATAAGCAAGTATATATTATATTAACCAGTATATATTATATTAAGTAGGTATATATTATATTAAGACAGACAGACAGAAACAGGCACAGACATAGACAGACAGACAGACAGACAAGCAATTAGACAGACAACTAGTGTTCATTGCAACGACTGTAGAAAAAAATGATTGAACATCACAGTGATAGAAATTATCGACTATATCTCTGCCAGGAATAATTAAGAGTCTAAAACGGTCAAAATAATATCTTACACTTTGATGATATTAGTTAATTTGATTTTATTTCTCTCTCTGACAGGAGTTTGGTAGGCTTGCGCACATGAGACCCGTGGCCTTTGGTTCATTTTCTGATGTAGTTGTGGAAAAAATGTGGTTGGAAGTTGGGGTGTGTTGTGTCTGTGTTTTTGGGTCTTTCACAGAGGTTCAATGAGGCAGACGCACACGCACACGTATATTCATCTATCTATTTGTGTGTGTGGGGGAGGTGAAAGTGTGGGTGTGAATGTGTCTGTGTCTGTATGTGAATGTGTTTATGTCAGTGTGTGTTTGCGTCCAGGTTTCCTGTTTTCCCAACTTGCCAGGGTAAACTCATCCATAAAAACCTCATTTACTCGATCGCCTAAAAGCTTAGGGCCAAAGCGATCCATTGTTCGAAAAAAATGATGGTTGCTCGCATGTTAATCAGTATTATGTTTCGAATAA